CATTAAAATTCAGCCTTTCCTTTTTTTGGACCACCCTAATCTACATACATGTTCATACCATGTACAAACATACATATAGGCATGAGTACTTATATTAATCAGTTTACGAGCAATGACTTTCCTTAATCTTAACAGAAAGAAAGTTCGAATCATCTAAGAAATTTTGTAGGCCAACTAAATTTGCATTGGGACAAACTTAAAGCCTGTGACGCTTAAATAAAATTGGCAAACTATAAAACAAACTAACGGTGTGACCAGCTTAGCCTTTTTGAGGCTAGATATAGCATTTAATTTTAAACGAAAGCCTCAGAATTCGCGGTTTGTCTTCGTGGATTCTTTCTGGCCTTTTTTACTTAAAATATTCATACCAAAATTCGGACCGGAATATATAAATATAATAACCATACTAAAGATACTTAATATTTCAAAAACTATTGTTTACCGTGCAAATATTATTATAACAGAGCAGAGTACGATTTCCATACCATTTTTATAAATAGGTATTTTCTTAGCTTTTTCTTAGGTTAAAAAAAAATAGTACTACGAAATTTTCCTTATATCCAGGCGAATTTATATAAGGTGGTGTTACTAGATTAGCTGATTTTGTGAATGAATATACTAACTTCTTTTTAACAAAATTTTTCACAAGGTGTAACTTTTTCCAACCTTTTTTTCAAAACCAATTTAGCCTCATCTGGTCACACTGCAAAATAATCATCAAACAACAACATTAAAATTAAGTATCTTCTAAAACCAACACTCCACTAAGATTTCTCTTCTTATCGTCTCAAAATATAATGCCCTAAAATAATATGCTAAGCTCTTGCACGCTTATTTATTTTGCTCGCAATTTTTTATTACTATTTTCGCTGTTTTATTACATTTTAGAATACGTGGCGCCCTCACCGCAATGGCTATGGGTTTCCTCAGTACCGGCATTTTGGTTGGCTATGCGCTGCCTGCATATCTCGATTACTTTTTGGTGCCTTGCATTATAATTGTTTTGCCGATCATTTATCTAATTGCTAGCTGGGTATTTCCAGAGACGCCACAAAGTCTGCTGAAGAGAGGACGTACTGAAAGCGCGGAAAATTCTTTTAATTTTTACAAAAGTATACCCAAGCCAGAGGAGAATGCGAGACCAAAATTTAGTAGAGACTTGGAATTACCACAGCCTGCGTTGCCGGCGCGAAGCGAGTTTGATGAATTGAAGGAGATTATTCTAGCGAGTGGATTTGCCACGCCCATAACTATAAAGGATTTCTGTAAGTTTTTGTGTCAATAAGTAGCCGATTAATATAGCTACGGAAGTTCGAATACAACCTGTCTGAATATATTTATACGAGGCGAGGTCTATATATAATTCGTCATGTGATGAAAAAAAATCTGTGAAAATCTCAAAACTTCCTCATAGTATCGAGAGGTCTTCCAAAGAAGTGATTTTTGGAACAGTCGTTTAATCTAGCCTAGCTACGACCTTTGACCTAACCTATCTCTCACACGACGTCTTAATAATTCTTCCACATATCTTACAAGCCCATTTCTCTCTCCCTTTTTTACTTTCCTTTTTTTCAGTCACCAAATCGGCCATATTCAAATTTTTCACCGCCTTCATTATATGCATTCTCAATCAATTCTCCAGCAGCTTCGTCTTTGTCAGCTATATGTCCGCTATTTTTGCATCATCCGGTTCGACGATGGACCCCAATGAGTGTACTATTTATATGGGTGTGGTTGAGATAGCCGGCACGGTGACGTCCACTGTGCTAGTAGAACGTTTCGGTCGCAAAGTACTGTTGCTTTCATCAACAGCGACGATGGCAGCGTCGATGTTTGCTTTCGGCATTTTTGTACAATTCACCGATGAGGTGACGAAGGCACAATACGAATGGGCGCCGGTGTTGCTGATGGCTTTGGTTGTGTTCACGGCCGCTTTTGGTATTGTTGGGCTGACCTATACGATTATTGTGGAAATTCTGCCGGCAAAGGTGAGTAAAATTGGAGTTGTGTTAAACCACGCCAACTGTGTCAATGAATTTTCATTGATTTTCTGGAAAGTGAAGACAATTGTGGGAATCTGTAGATAATTATAGAACAAAAATACTCTTTGGACGGTTTTTCAAAATTGCACTTCGTTTTTATTGGTTTTTTTGGTATTATAAGAATATTGCAATTTTTTAGAGAAAAATTCGTAACTCGCGACCCATTTGATGAAATTTGATGGAATTTTTTTTGAGAGCTACTGAAGCTTTTCCCTTTACAATATAAAGATTTGCAGAATAAAATTTGCAAAACAATTAATTCTTTAATAATAATAATTTAAACAATTGCAATTATTTATACATTCTAGGCCCGCGATTGCAGTGAAATTTTGGCGCAAAGACCAATTTTTTCTTTTTGGAACTTAAAAACAAGAGTATATTGTGCCAAAAGTTCACTGCAATCGCGAGACATTTTAATTGGGCATGCGGTCTATTTAGTTTAAGTGTAATAAAGCACAAGTTTAAAGTGGCTAAAAAATAACCTTGATTTTTGTTTTTTTTTGTTGACGATGTTGCGCATTTTCTTCCATGTGAAATACTCGTAACATGCGATCGATCATTCACGATATGGAAGAAAACTCAAAATTACACTGCAAAGTTGTCTTACCAAAATTTCTATTCTGTTAAAAAATAAATAAAAATAACCCGCTTTTTTCAGATTCGCGGTCAAGCTCAAGCGATAAGTATGGTCTTCATGAGCATTTGTGTGTTTGGTGCACTTCACCTCTATCCAATGTTCCTCTACAATTATGGCCTACCTGTAACTATGTACTCCTGCACGGGTGTATGTGTTGTTTGTGGCATTTATTTACTCATCTTCCTCGAAGAAACCAGAGGCAAGTCAATGGAACAAGATTAGCGAAGGGGGTAAAGTTTATGTAAAGCGGCGCGTGCATCCCTGCTATCTCCAAAAATAATTATGAAAATTTTACATGCATTCGTTCTAGATGCAAATGTAATTTATTATTATTTTTTTTAACTATTAATTATTAAAGTAAGTACATACATTTATCTACGTAGGTACTCGCATGAATGTATTAAAGTTTTACTAGTAACTACTACTGTATAATATGTGATGTAAATATACGAAATTGGAAATTTTGATTTTTTTTAACTAATTTATTGTACTTAAATACAGAAGAATTAAAAAAAAAACGCGCTTCGACATATATTTTACCATTTTAAAGCCCGTTGAAAATTCCCTTACCATTCTGCTTGAAATCCCACTGGGCGTGGGAAATTACACCCACACATGCGGCTGAAACAAACTCGACACACGTTTGCATCGAAAACTTTTCAACAACAACCATTTTTTTTATTTTCATTTTATTGCTCGCTTGCTTGATTTCTCCAACTTAAAATTACTACAAATTTAAACGGTTGCACGATCATCATTGGCGATCACCTCTCAATTACCGCCGTTTACATCGACCATCTGTGGCTGGCCATCGAACGAGTAATATTGTGTTTTAAGTGGCTGATGTGGTTCATGCCTCAATTGTAAGTGGTCAAAATTATTAGCGAAGCAGTCAGCAAGTCAGTAAGTCAGTCACTCAGCCATTCAACTACATATTCAACTATTCAACCATTTAGTCAGCCACCAAGCAACAGCTTCTCAACATTTGTGGCTAATTTGCGAGCAATAGGTTATGGCGATTATGGTCATGTCGAAAATGTTAATAGAGAAGAGATGGTGATGTAGCATGTAAGCAGCACTGGGCGTCCGCCCTCTATACAACTCACAAATATGTATAAATATTTTTTTTTATTGCAATTGCCTGATATCCCTCCCATACATACACTTTTAGTGGCGAGTTGGTGTAGCATCAACGTTTATTACGAGTAAAATGTTGCAAAGGAGAAAATTTCAATTGTAGAGGGTGGTTGCCACTCGACCAACCTAATGTTGCTGTTGTTGTTGCAACAACGTTTGAAGTGTTTAAATTGCGCATTCATCGCCGCACCTTTTAATATTACGGTAGTAGATTTATTGTTTAAAGTTAGTGTGAAGGAAATTTTCTTTGCTTGCATTCCCATTTTGGTGAGCGGTTCAACAAGCTGTCCCCGTGAAAGCTCAAAAGCTCTGCAGTGCAAGGTGTTAAAAGGAGGATTTGGTTAAACGATGGCGTTCGTAATGGTTACGTTAATGGTAATGGTAATTTAATTGGTAATAGTAGTGATAATGGTAATGATAATGGTAATTGTAGTGGTAATGTATTGTTAATTATTCTGGTAATGGTAATGGCCATAGTATAGTAATGGTAGGGGTAATGCTAGTGGTAATTATAATGCGAATGGTAGAAGTAATAGTGACGATAATGGTAATAGTAATGCTAATGGTGGTAGTAATGATAATTTTAATTTTAAAAGTAATGGTAATTATGGTGGTAATCGTTTTGGCAGTGGTAATGGAACCGGCAATAGTAATAGGAAGGGGAAATGGTAATGGTAATAGTATTGGTAATGGTAATGCTAATAGTAATAGTAAAAGTAGTGGTAATGGTAATAGTAATGGTAAAAGTAATAGCAATAATACTTGAAGTGTAAATACTATTGCCAATCGTAGTGATAAAATGTAGTAATTATAATATTTTTGGTAATGGTATTGGTAATGGCAGTGGTAATGGTTATGACTATAATAAGTAATGCTAATATCGCGACAGCTAGCTAGAATTTGATCCACTCTGGGTGTGAGACAGTTGTTACACCGAAATTCGTTTCCATCTTAATACATTTTCCATTGCTATTTTAAATTAACTAACGGAATCGTTGTGCCCGTGATGAAATTCTTGCAATTTTCCATTGATGTGGCATTTCATAGCACAGTTAATCGTACAACCCTAATCAATTTCGATATTAGAGTTGCCAACGAAATAAATTTGAAAAACTTTTTTTTCTTCATTCCCTGCCTGGAACACTGATCCGGTTCGATGGTGATATCTCATTTTGAAGGGGAGCAGCGTCCGTACAAGAGAAACAAAGTCAAGTTTTTCAAATTTAGTTATTTATTAAAAAAAAGGGGGTTTAAAAAGCTGAAAGCACTGTATCCGGCCAATAAAGCGCCATATCTTCCACAATACTCCATCAAATTGAATGATTGAAACACCATTTTGGTTGAGGTAAAAGATAAAAACTTTTTAATAGGGTTGCCGCTCGCTTAAAATCTTAGTGACTTAAATATATATCGAGTAAAGTATTGCAACGTATACAGGGAATGCAAGGCGTTTAAATGCACTCTTAACCAGAATTAATAATTTTGAAAAGGGGTTGCCAAATAATTAAATCTCCGAATACGAGGACGAGTAGTGAACGAATACGAAAACGAAGAAGAGGGTGAATATGAAAATGATGGCGAAGACGAATACAAAAGTTGCATTGAAACGACTCCGAAGGCGAATACGGAGGTGAATACGAAGACGACGACGAAGATAAATACAAAGAAGAATATGAAGAGGAATACGAGTACTAATACGAAGACAGCGACTAAATCGGATACAAAGGTGGATGTCGCATGCATTAATACG